CTGCCAATTTTACTATAAACGTGTTTTGGCCCTATTTTGGGTTTTAACTATTTACCCATAGCTGGGACACCTAACAAGTGCTATCAGCACGGCTCAATATGGACCTAAGAACAACATCAATTAAGAGGTGTTTCCACGCTCCTCAAAACCTCCCTTGCTGCCGGGTGTTGGTTATCGTTATACTCAGGATATTTGGAGGTCTTGCCTCTCTGCAGTTGTACAGTGGGCGTATCGTGAAGCCCTAGTCTACAGGGTGTCAGGGTGTTAGCGTTCAAAGAGCGAAAAGAATAAGAAACAATTTCGTAATATGAATAACATCCATTAATTCCGTACACGTGCGTATGTATATGCATAAAATTCCGAAAATCAATTTCATATGACGTCTTTACATAAAGGGTGACAGAAATGAATTACATAAAAACAAGTCAACTGCATTTTATGCAACAGACGTTCTTGCTGCGAGGTTGTGTCTTCGGCGACATAAGCGGTTTCTTCATGCTTTTCTTCCTTTCTTCCCTTAACAATTACACACCAAGAATGGCGTTAAAGCCACTAAGACGCAACGAGTTACTCAAAATGAAAGAATCGCCAACTTTAGCGCAGAGAACAGACAATAAAAGAAGAGATATCTGATATTGATTGATTTATTTTATACACTCTATCAACCCATTATTTAAAGCCGGAAAATATTGTAAGAATTTTTAAAGATAATAATGATTTGCTGATGCAAATACTCCTAATTAACCCATATCTGGGGGGAGAGGTGGATTCATGCCTTTTCCAAGGTTATTTGCGCGAAAGTGAATACAACGACCCAACAGGAATTGGAACTCGGCTGCTGCGATTAACAATTCTGAGCCGTTATCCGTTACACCACCCGCACATCCAAGCTCACAGCACCCGGTATTCTGAAGCGATCAACCATCTAGGTACTAAAGGGCACTCAAATGTGATGTAATAGTTAGCAGCCTTGTCTCGCTATATCAATTACGTCTGAATAGTGAGTTCGATTCTCACTGCGTGCTCCCTGTTTTAGGCCTTGTGCCACTTCTAAGCTACTCTTAAAAAACTGCCATTCTTCTAGGTACTCAGCATTGCTTAATTTCGGTGATCGTATTGGAACCATTGTTTGAGCATTATATGGCCGTAATTGATTGATTTGTTTGTTTAACGGCATATAAAAATGCTCATGGGTCACTGTTGTGGTAGGATCCACCTAATTTGCATAGTGGAGTACCGACCATATAAATATGGTTGGTACCGGGAAGAGAGGAAGGAATCAAGAGATTCAACCAGAGACTCTGCCCGACTGCGACTCAGTCAACACATTCTCCAGGAACGGTCTTACCAGGAATATACAAAAGACTATATGTAAATATTGTGTACCCTTTCTTGTTTCAATACATTTTGTTCTAAGTACATTTTGTGTTGCATTATTATTCCATGCATTAGTCAAGTTTCAACAGTCACTTAATGATCTTTGGAGCTATGAAGTAATAATATGTTATTCTGCTTTCACAAGTGAATACATGGTAAATGATACTCAGCTTTTAATTAATTGAGTTGTTTGTTTAACGGCATATAAAAATGTTCATGGGTCACTTAATGATCTTTGAAGCTATGAAGTAATAATATGTTATTCGGCTTTCACATGGTAGATGATACTCAGCTTTTATGCATATACATGTTTGTGTGGACATGATTATTAGAGGGGGAGTATATGTGTTTTATGTTGTAGTTTTCTTGAAGTTATATTTTGGAATACAGTTTGATTTCTTTAAGAAATTGTAGGATATTATACGGATTAATGTCATTAAAAGAGTTCTTTCGTGTTGGTTATTTGGTACTATTTTAATCATACTAATTAACCGTGTGTGTGTGTGTGTGCGAATGATTTCTATTTTACGGCCTATCAAACCCATTACGTATTATTTAAAGCCAGAAAATATTTCTAGATTATAAGAATTTTTGCAGATAATAATGATTTACTATTACAAGTACAACTAATTAACACATAGCTGGGGGAGAAGAGATGGATCCATAAATTTCCTAACGGTATTTGCGCGTAAGTGAATATAACAAACCCGGCTGGAATTCGAACTCTGCTCTCCGATTTTCAATTCCAAGCCGTCATCCATTACACCGCACGCACTCCCAAGTTTACAGTACCTGGAATTCCCAAGCGTCACCCACATAGATACTGGCCAGGCTCGACGTTGCTTAACCTCGGTGATCTTGGGAGAGTTTTTTTTTTCAAGGTGGTATGGCCGGAAGCCAGTATTCAGAAAAACAGGATGGGGAGATTGACACTGCATTTAAATTTTTAAATAGTTGACAAGAATGCAAGACGAGATTTCGACGAGATTTCGACGTGAGTAGAAGTTATTAGAATAGAGTTTACGGTTACATTTCGACAGTGTGACTGAAATGATAAGACCTAACTGCCAATCTAGTATTAAGCTTAAATTCATCTGCTGTGGAAAGTTATCAAATGGCGGAT